CCCGTCGAGTGAGCTGCAACCTGGGAGTTGACGTCTTTCCTTCTCACCGCCGTCGCATGCTCGGCCATTCGCGTCCGGAGTAATCTTCCGGTTTCTCCGACATAGTCGCTTTGTCCACAACTGCACCGGATCCGTCAAATGACTCCAACCGTTTCCTGCCGTGGACTCTCTACTTAACATCGGAGTTGGAACGAATAAATTAACCGGCTTTTCCTACGGTTTCATATGGGGCGTCCAAAGGCACTTGTACCGGCGTCTGAAATGGATCAAACTGAACCCTAGTGCAAACTCACTGCGGCCAGTCCATCCAAGAAACTGTCACATCAGGCCAACAACCTCTGAAAAAAAAATTAATTTTTGTTAGGCCATGCGTAACTCCAAAATTACGGCTTAGGAATTGGCCAATTAGGCTCTTGTCACTAAAGTACTGACAACTCCCTTATGGGTGCCTGATCGATAGTCACGCCCTTTCTTGCATTTTTCTCTCCCACGTAAATGTACAGTATCTCCTCCGACACCCACACACGACCATGCTCTTCTAATTCACGTGTCTTTGCGATGTGTCTTAAAGATGTGCTTCGATCACCTCTGTGTTTTTGCAAGATTATGGGGGGAAGTACGCTAAGCGAACAAGTGTAAATTTTGAGGCAACATCTTCTGGCTGAAGTGCAGCACAGATTTCACGGAGGAAGGTCCTGCTTGCTTGAGGTCGGGTATCGCTGGCTGATGACGGCTAATGAGCCCGAAATAGCTACACCAGTTTCCCTAGTCTATTTCGGTTATGTGCATGGAAGTGTATGCATTTCTCTGTCAGTCTGTCACAAGTCGTCCAGGTTGGCGGTCAACAGCTAACGGAAGTGGCAACAGGCAGCGGTGTTGTGCAAGGTTCCGTTCTTTACCCTACACTTTTAGTCATCTTCCTTGATGACCGCCTCCGACAGGTATGTAGATGATATCCGATTTTGACGAACTGTTAAAAACGAAGCGGATGAGGATCTGTTACAAAGAGATTTCTATTGGATCAAACATTAGCCAAGGAAGTGACTTCCTTCTTTAACTGTGGGCGTGTCCCCTTTTCTGATCGGCAAACTTTGGCCTTGGGACAGCTAAACATACTACTAAAATGGTGCGCCGCTCCAGGGAATAGGAGCGCCAAAGGACTTGGGTGTACGGATCCTAGCTGATCTAAATCCATAGTTTCAAAGGTTGCCAGTTCCGTGATAGCAGCGCTGTTCCTCGCGAAGCGTGTCGTTAAAAGTTTGGTCAAAGAGTGTTCTGCTAAGACAAAAATTATATTTATGCAGTCACAACGAGAATACACTACTCAGACATGGAAACAATGAACTGTGAAAAACAAAACTGCCCTCGAAAAGGTCCAACAGCATGCCACCAAGCTGGTTCGAGGACTAGGCCTTTTGGCATACGGGAAACGACCTTCAATCCTGAATTATTTCTCTTAGCTTAAGGGCGAAGAAGAAGGGACCCTATATTGACGTTCCGCATACTCCTATATTTGTGATCATCTTTTGAGATGTACATCACAAAAAACTTACGCAGATATCCCATTAAACTGCACGTGGCTGTGTGACGACTAAACGTGCGGAATTTCCTCCCCTTGCGCCGAGTGGCCGGAGGAGATTATAGTTTCCACAGATGTCGACTTATTCCAAAAAACTTGACCGCCATAAAATCCCATCAAACCCCACTGTTTAATATCGCTTAGGTATTTAGTTCCTACAAAAAATATTATATCACTAAATATCCGCCGGCAGAAATTATAGTTGCGATGTAAATATATCAGCTGCAACGGACTTTTATACTCACCATCATGTTTACTTTACTTTATCCCCTCAATGGGTGTCAAATTTTGTTTTTGCAGGAGAGGAATACAAAGGTTAACACCTACATTTCACCTACGACAAAAGGGAATTCAGATAAGCACATATACAGCTCCCACCTCCTGGTTTGTTCAGAGGACTGAGTACTTAATAGAACCAATTTGTCGTCCCTCGAACGATACACTTGCGTGGAGAAGGAGAATGTGAATGGAACTCGCGACTCACCGGTTGACCTGCAATCAGTACGACCGCTAGAATCACCACAGCCAGAAAGAGTAGAAGGAAGGCCATGCCCTTCTGCTCCATTTTATCTTGGTAGCGACGGTACTCTCCGTGTGTGAGACACAAGTATTGCGAAACCAACATGTGCTGTGATCCCCTCTGTCCACTAGGGCAAGAAAAGAAGGCATGGTTCTTATCCAGATCTGGCAATTTGGTTAGAATGAATACAAAAAGGCAGAAGGGGATAAGAAGGGGGGAGCACACACCCTCGATCCATTTCGCAGTCCGTGCACACCAGCATACTGCCGCATCGACAGGTTTCGTACTTTGCGGAAAACTGGCCCACTCTTTTGCCGCAGAACAAACAGACATCGGCTGAGCGTCTCTTTTTAAAAGGCTAGGAAAAAAGTATAAAAATAAGTAGGATTGGGCACATGGACACGTATTATCCCAGTATGTCGTAGACTACTGGGAAGTCTTCAAAAGGGAAATAATTATGTGGCAGTGGAACGGAATTGGACGTACCATGATGTAAGTTTCGAGAACGTCATGCACAAGGAGAGATCGGATTCCCATCAGGTTGCATATACAACTGCTGACCAGCGAAATTGCGATTATAGTGTACACCACAATCTGGCCCCAGTGACCAAAGAGGTACGTTGGCACTACGTAGGGTAACAAGCCTAAAATGTGGGGTATAGTGTTATTGTATATTCAGACTACAGCGGGTTGAATTGTGAATAAAATACCTCAATATCAGTTTCTGCTACACACTGGGATGCGTGGCTCTCGTTTACACTCGACGGATAGACTATAAGCTCGCTGAACAGAATTTCAAAAGCGCATCATTACGTCTGTTAGGGGAAGATTAAGTATGAGTACACAATGGGCTTTCTGGAACAAACAGACTGCAAAAGACTCAGAGGTGGCAGCATCTGTGGGTCGACTGAATCATGCGTAAACTTTGCCCTTCCGCTCATAGGTTTTTCCGGCACGTATGCCTGGCAAAATGAAGGAATAACGGCATCTACCTGTGTTTTAACTTCATCGTTATCTGTCTGATGCCGTTAGCCTTGGTTTGACCACTTTGCAGGCCAGAAGGAGATTGTCTCTTCGGCATTCGGAGTTCGCCTACCCTGTCAAAAATGCAGCGCTTCCGGTTCAATTCTGTTCAGTTGTATTAAGGGAAAGGTAGACAAACGAGGATGAACTCCCTATTGGTTACAGTAACGTCGCAAACGAAGAAAAAACACTACAAACTGAAAGCTGTACCGAAGTTTGGTCATGGACTTGCATTCAATAAACCTACGGCTCTCTGATACGTGCTACTATTTGTCCACGTACGGTGGCAAAAGCGTATGTATCGAACGCGTTACTGAAATAAAGTAAACAATATAGAAATAAGTATTTAGACTCCAGATATAATTTACTGGGCCGTACGTCACCTATTTGACGGAACAGTCATAAAATAGTTTTGCTTGAAGATTGGGAGTTGTATATTTGATAACGTGTGACGTTCGTGTCAGGACCTCACCTGCGTAGACCTCGTGGTGTGTTATGATGTGGTCATTAGAAGCGCTGGTGAGGGCGAGGTAGCCCAGACCACACGACATGGAGTAGAGGAAGGGGATGGTGAACCACAGGAGGACAGCCAGCACGAAGCTGAGGCAACTGTGATCCAGTGAGGTGTAGATGCCCACTTGCCAGTAGCCCTGGTTTGTGAAGAAGGACGCCGTGCTAACTAGGAATTCGAGGAGAAGACGAAGAATAAGGTGGAACTTGACTGACAGTCGCTGGTTTGGGTTGTCAGCATACTTCCAACACAATAATCTCTTAGGAAATGGATGAGAGCGGAGAAGGTGGTTCCCAAACAGGTTTGTTGCCTTTAATCACATTTCTCTTCTCTAAGTGAGGAGATGAATTCCTTGAGGTCAGGCAGAAATGACGTTCACAGTGCCACCGTTCTTGTTATTCAACCATTCTTTAGGTGATGCGTAGCGTTCAATCATAATTTGGTATAACTGTCTATAACTTCAGCCACTCGACGAATTTACTCGAGTGAATCAGTAATCCTTTCCCGAAATGTAAAAAATCAACTTAGTCTCCTTTTAAACGCATTTAAGTCACACCTACTCAACAAACGCTACCTTTTTGAATTTCCTCGGAATTAAATGCGCAAACCTGGAGTAAATTCATCTAAACAGAGCTTTTAGATGAGCTTCAAACGTCCAGATAACAATATAATTTTAAATCCATCATCAATTGTGTCATAACTGTTTAATGTGCACAAGTTACTAACAAGCAGTCACTCGTATGCTAATAGTGCAATATTTATCGCACTGACAGTATGGATAGTATCTATAAGCCCAGGCATGCGTGGTTCATCAAGCTTTGCAGCTGCATCGATAACTGCGAGCAATTCGCCTCATCAGAGGGTCCCACAGCGTTCCCCGCGCATTTTATGGTCCACAAACTCCGGTTTTCGGGCTTCAAATTCGCACATTAATTGAAGACACACTAAGTCGGCACAGAAGATTAAGTATAGACGCGAAAGAATGATCGAAAAACGCAAATACACGATGAAAATATTTGAAAAACTTCTCACAGAAAAGTTTCTGCAGAGTCATGGTTGGTCCATTGTTTAAGTAAACTGTCAAGAAGCTCTGATTGAATGCTCCCTTGTGCGTTTCAAAGCAGCTCAGAAGTTTGTAAACTCTGTCTCCCGTGCCTAAAACGAAATAAATATGTAAAATATAATAAAGTAGAACACTTTTGGCGGTAACTGTTATAAAATTATTGTACCCGTTGGATACAGCCATGAGACGTCAAAAATTAGCAGACAGGTGAGGTGTGAACGGGAAGTGAGGAGTTTTTTGATATTTGAAGCAGCGATCTTTCTTACTGATCTTTATAGATTATAAATCTCGGCATATGGAGCGTGGACAGCATGCACAAAATGCCTGGTGCGAGGACCACTCATGCCAGCTGTAGATGCGACATGAACTACGTGTTCAACGGACGTCTCTGTCGCCTCAGTCCTCGTTGCCCTGATAAATGGTAGCTCCAATTAGAGTGAGTCTTGAATATATTTCCTCACAATCGCAAACTCGGAATTTCATTTTCCCCTATATTGACTTAAGTTGTCCAGTTTCACAATCAAGCGGAAATTTTCTGACGTTTTACAGCCAAATTGGTGCACCTCCAAAACTGCTGGAACCTATTTTGCCGACAGTTACGTTATAATATTTGCATTTTTTTCTGCCATATTTCAATTTTCATTTTGAAGAAATCTAATTAATTTATTCCACTGGAACTGAGCACGACTTTGTAAGCAGTAGATTGATATACCCTATATGCCCTGACAACCAACTGTCAACTTACCTATCGGAAAGTTGTTTGCGTTGTTGAAAACTGCGAAGGCAATAATGTTCGCAGCACCAAGAAATATGATTGTTGTAAAGTAGAAAATAACACGGAGACCTTCAAGTCCACCAACTACCGCTCCAGGTATAATTGCAATGAAGATTAGGAGAATCATCACCTCGTTTGAGGCATCCCGTGTGACTGCCTGGAGAGCAGATGTCCCAGCTAAAATACAATTGTTAGCACGTTTACTACTGAGTTTGTTTCAGTAGGCACAGTAAATGAGTTTAGAAGTATTACCTGCAATGATGAGCATTATCTCCTGGAAGTTGGTGATGACAAAGATTGTGATGAAAGGAATGTGCGCTAAAGGACCAAATCGGGCGTATATAATTTGTGCAAACGTTCGAGCACCCGGCGCCTTGGTTCGCATCTCTAGGACCAAGAGTGCGAATAAGGAGGCGGGGATAGCACTTGCTAGGGAGAAGATGAGCGGGCCGGCGATTCCATACTGGAAGACAAACGATCACGATCAGCGTATGAGATTTCTTTAACTTTTAAGGTCAAAGGGTTGACAGAGACTATGTTAGCGTGTGTTACCTTGGTGCGCGGGTCTTAGGCACCTATTTACCTTTGATCACACCTGGATCGCAATGCTGTACCTGCCCTACTTACTGCAAATTATGGAATCCACCAATTCTGATAGAGTAAGCCCAAGCACGGTTTCCTAAACAATCAACCTAGAATCCACCTAATGACTACCAGGCAAACACTTACTTAATTGGGGAGAGGTTGGCAGACTTGAATAAATCGATCGACCGCCGAGTTATTAAAATCTGCGAACCTCCCTCCCTTCTTCTCTATCTAAACATATACCTGGGATGCGAACATTTCCCTCAGTTCGTAGGAAAGTGTATGTCTGGTAGTCATTAGGTGGATTCTAGGTTGACTGTTTAGGAAATCCTGCTTGGGCGGTCCACATATGACCAATGAGCCTCTGTGGGTCTATTTGTGATTTTAGTGTCAGGGTATAGATAGAAATGCTGAAATGGTTTGGAAAGTATCAGAGCCACGTGCGCAAAAATTTTCTAGCATAAACACAAACGGGCAAATCTCAAAATCTTAAACAGTTAGGGATAGAATTACCTGATATCCCATCTCAATGGCGACAAGAACTGTTGATGTCCACGAAAATTGTGAAACTAAATGAACCACTGAAAGTCCCACGTTCTTTGTGTCCGTTCCCAGGTTAGGTACCTAGATGGGAAATTTTGGAGCATTCAAAAAGAACTTAAATTAATTGAGTATAAAAAACCGCTCGCTGTTGTTTCTCAGATATATAATTCGGGAATGATTTTTTCTGTTCTTAAAGGTCACTCTTCGTTAGCACGTCGGAATTTTTAGAGCGTCGATCGCTGCCGATCCTGCACCTGTCCAGAGCCGAGAGGACTACCACAACATAAACGGTGAGGTGGGGACTTTCGCTGCACCCACCTCACACCTGGAGAGACAAAGTTAAGCCTGCAGATGGTGACTGAAGTAACTGGCCACGCAGCTAAGCACATCCCACAAGTGCAAGTCCGTACTACAAAAGACCTACAACGTCATCCTCCTCGGCTAAATTCAGGCCCGTTTCAGCGTAATCGTAGCTCACTTCCTTAAAGGTAGCCCCTGAGGAGTTCATTATTATTTAGGCTAGTAGGCAATGCCTTTGAAGACCCTATTAAAGACAGTATGCACAAAATGTCCGACATAAAATATGTTACTATAAAATAGTGAGTAACAGATACACATGTACAATTTTTTATGTGCATGTGTGACTGAAGCGTTGGTGCCTGCTTACAGTGCTTTCCTGTGCATATGAACGGTATCTGTTAAGTAAATATACATCCAGTTTGCGTTTGAATGCATCTGTTGAGTTCTCCATTATAACCTCCTCGGGCAGTCCGTTCCAGGCACCAATGATTCGCTGTGAAAGCGAATGGCTGCGTACATCCAGATGCGATAAGGTTAGCCAATCCCACCGGATGCTCACAGAATGCATTCGTTCAAACTCTCCAGCTACCCTGGCTCAATATGAGCGCGTACATTCCTATTCGAATCCTACCGTTTCGCGTTAGAACGACAGCGTACAACTTCACCTGCCCCATAATCTGTCGACTAGATAATAATACTTCAGTTCTGACTGGAAGGTCCAGATATCTTTCAACCTCCTCTCACATCGCCCTTGCAATGGGATGTTGTATGATTTTTTCAATTTCTGTTGCCCTATCTTCATGTGCATTATTGTAAAATCCTGATAAATAATTGGAAATGTGCATTTGTCGAAGTAAACAAAATTTATCTTATCGTTGCCGTAAAGACCATGTTAAGATTGTACATTGCTGTATGACTGCCCACATGCAGACAAGGTTTGCGCATTCGATAAATATTAAATCTGTGCATATCAATTAGAAGACTGTAAACATGGCAGAGGTAAGAAAATGCGAATCTGTGCGAATAAAACAGAACACAAGCAAGTCCCGGACTTAAAACTGACAGGATTTTCACGACCAACGTTTATATCACCTCCAACAATAACTGTTTGTCATTAATGTTTCTCCAGACTGCATGAAAGCAAATACCTGACTTGCCTCAAACTTGGTTACCTAAGAACTTGGCACATAGTCATAAATTAATGATCCCAGACCCTAGGGGAATGGCGAGACTTATTTTTGATTTGGATCCTGGCACATAGCACCCCGCTCTATCTGTTGTTCAACTGAAATTCTTGAATGAAAAGAGCCATCATTTTGTCACACTACCTGGAAAACCTTTTCTGCTCCTGGCCACAATCCCATGATGCAACTTTGGACTTAAAAGTTTTTAATACTGCAAAATAAGCGATCATATAGATTTTTCAAAATAATTGTCGAATGGTTTTGCAATTACGAAGGCTCGCTTGCTTTAACTGATTCGATTTTTCGCTTTCAGTTTAATTGGTGAGGATAATAAGTAATGCCTTTGAAAACCTTATTATTTACACGCCGCTGCGTCATATACATTAGTACACGCAGGCTTAGATACTGACACTTTTAAAATAGTATTCACAAACGGTGAGTAGCATTGTTTTTAAAAATAACTCTTGTGTGGAGTTTGTGCGGTATTAGTTCGACTTTTGACTTTAATTATTTTTTTTACAGAGAAGCGCCTCCCCTGGCTTGCAGGACCGAAAAGAGGCTGAACAAATCCCAAAAGCAGTCAGCGAGTCGTACTGCGCAGAACTTGACGTATATTGACATACTAGGCTTGTCCTCCTCCTCCTTAAGGGTTGAGGGCCTAGGTCCAGATATTACCTGAAAGAATAGTATCCTTTCACAGTTTTGCGGAGTGCTTATTTTGCCGCCTGAAATAAAATATTAACTAGCTGAACTTACACGACTGCTAAGCTTGATTCATTCATTTGGCCCACTTGCGAAAATCTCGGCGTCCTCGGTAGGGTTCGAATCCACACGACCAAGGGAAAGGCTTCGGTACTGCCAACGTTCTAGCCAACTGATCTACGAGGCTAAAGTGTTGGCTGTACTAAAGCCCTCCGCTTGTTGGCAAGGCCGCTGAGTTTTTCGTAACTGGGTCAAATGATTTATTCTAATCTACCAAAGCCTCCCCCGCTAACCTACTTCAGGCGGTTTTGCTGGAGGAAAAACAACGAAAAGGCTGAATTTGGAAACAGCGTCGGTTTATTTTCTGTAGTTTAAGTTGACAGCATTGTCAACCCCGGGGGTGATAACTTCGGAATGAGAAAGAATAGTTTTGAATGTTATTTTAGTGACCTTCAAGCATAGGTTTTTCGGTGCAGGACTGCTGCTACTGCTGCTGTTAACCGTCACGAATGAAATTGGACGGAACAGGAATGCTTTGTTGCTGGATAGGGAGGGTGAGGTGACGATAGTCAGGCGTAAGCACTTCATACCTTCTCGCTATGTCTACATCCCGGCAATGAACTCCCACTTCTATACGTAGTGCTGAGATTTTGCTTTAGCACAGCAAGTACCTACGTCGGAACCGCGCACGAGCGGGTTATGTTCGCAATGCCAGTGTCGGTGAGCCAAATTTTCCAAGGGCTCACAGAAGTAATGCGAATTAACGACTCCGCAGCGAGCAAGCAATCAATTACCGTATCACCTGTGATGTATGTTGGAGCCGCCTATTTTTATAGATAGGCAATAGAATAGCAACTGCAGCCCGTATGTACTCCAACATATGCGCAAAACAGAACTCTTTTCTGGTTCTCTCTTCCTCTTTGCTGGTTATGATGACGACGATTATGGTGGTGGATCTGAGTTAAATCTGAAATGGCAGGTAAATAAAGCTCTTGTCCTCCTGTTCCAGATACAAACTGTTCGCATATATTCATCACCCTTAGACCTCAGCAAGTCTGCTCCGCCCAATTATTTTTTTGCAAACAATCCGCTCGGTGGGAATATCTCAGCGTTGAGGAACTTTACTCGGGGGTTCGGCGTTGGAGTACGGTGATAGAGGGGTGCGTACATAGCGGGTTCTCGGACGGAGAAAGCAGACACTATCTAACAGTTCGTCAAACTATAGGAAGCAGACAGAACCCAGGAAAGTCATTTTCCCAGTGACACATTTCAATTCGTATGAACTTTTACTCACCTACGCGGGAATTCGTCTCTCCCTCCCCTCCTGCTCAAAAGGCAGCTCAATTTTAAAAAAAACATTTTGCTTGAGTCGGAATCTCTAGTCTAAACTTTCAAACATACTGACAGTTTTACAAGTAACTGTTAACCAGTTTGTATATAGTAATTAAAATTGTTGCTTTTGGATGTCCTAACTAGGGGGCGAAAAATAAACACGTAAAAGTCGTCTTGGAGAGTGAAGAACAACCACGAGTGGCTGCCTACACCTACGAAACGGACCATGAATCCAACGTCACAGGCGTCAAGATAATCGCCCCAGTCGGAAACAAGACGAACCGAAGATTCATTGAAGTCCGTGCCGCAGATGGGAACTTAAGCAATCGATATATCGATCTGGCGCAGACGAACAGAGCCCGGCACAGACACCTCTAGGCTTGTGTCCTTGAGCATCGATTAGTTTGTACACCCAAGCCGTGTAGCCGTTTTCTGCTTCTGTTGCTATCTCTGGCTATGAACGCCTGCACGATTTTGAGAGCTCAGAATAATAAATGAACTGTTCCGGTGATCAACCAGCCATCGGTTTTACTATTACACTTGGAATTCAAGCCTTTGTATTCATTCCTCACAACCACGTATCTTAGGCAAAAAAACATGATAACGCAGATTGTAATAAACGTTCAGGTAAATGCTGAGGATTAAGAAAATCTGCAAACCATGGAAGCCCTGGTAACTGTCTATGTCGACCCCACGAACCTGCTCAGTGTTGTAACTGCAACGAATCCCATAACAATATGCTGTCCCTTGCGAATGAGTTTCCGTAAGATTGCCCGATAAGAGTGCGTAAACTTAACGAAGGTCACTCCCTAAGGAATCTGTCCATAAAAAGTTTGTAATTTCACAGATCATCAATAGTAGCAGTAGATTATAGATAACACCATGGAAAGCAAAAAAGCCTAGAAACTGAAATACGGGACCGGCGATAATGGGGCATATACGGGTGAGGCATTACGGGGACGAAGGAGAGACAATGAAAGGAATATTGTAAACAAAAGCAGGAAATAGTAGACAAAACTACTAATGAAAGCTAATACATAGCAACGAAAAAGTGCACGATAATTGAAAAATAAATAAAACCAAAAATAATTAACAATAAATTAAATGGACTAAATTAAACAAGTAAATAAAATAACAAGTACCATTACCACCGGTCCCGTATTACAGAATTCTGGGATCTTGGTTTCCGTGGTGTTACCTGTAATATACTGTTATCATTTCGATGACAGCGAGCCTAATTTGCGCGTACGTATCACGCCAACATACAACACGGATGATGAAGTCGCAACAAGTAAAAACTGTCAAGCCACAATCGCATCAATCACGGGCCCAAGCGATGATCATGAGAACTGCTATTTTTAGTACGTATGTGGTCGCGTGGACGGTACGGACCATACTGCGAAAACTGCACCTTTATCACCCCTTTCTCTGGTTGTCTCCGATGACGGGTTCAAGCCAGAATCTGAGACGACCGCCCAATAAACCTCTTGTTCCAGCGATCACATCTCCTCCTGAACTGCTTCCTGCCTGTTCGCTTCTATCAGGCCTATTTCTGCCAATAGAGGTTAATATGCGAGTTCCAGGAAGCAGTTCAGACGGAGATGCAACCACTGGGACAAGAGTTCTATTGTCCTGACGTTTCGGATTCCGCCAGGAATCCTTAATCATAGGTAACGACTCAGACTATTGTACCATTACCTATGATTAAGGATTCCCGGCGGAATCCGGAACGTCAAAACAGTAAAACTCTTGTTCCAGTGTTCGCATCGCCTTCTCCTGAGGCCTATCTCTGTTTAAACATCAAAAAGCCTTCAACTGTTAACCACAAACCCCCTTAGCTTTCTCTTAGCCTTTAGCATTTACTGAGGAATTTTCAAGACAGGAAGAAATTCTGTGCTAGCAGACAGTGGTCTTTGGGGGTTGTCGAATAAGTAAAAAAACGATGACTAGACTGGACCTACGGCTCTGGTGTGGAACTCACGTTTATCCTAGCCGCTCGACTGCGTAGGAAACTGGACACGCGATTAATGATAAATCCCAGGCTCACAATTGCCAAGAAAATGATTGTGATCTCGGAGCGCTCCATCTGTCTGGTGTAGGGCCACTTTTTGGCGTTTTTCAGAGGCAAACAGGCACTGGCGGTTCTGGACAGTCGTTTCCTGCTGAAATTCAGTGCTGGCATTCCCGCTTGAGCCCAAATGAGGACGTGCTCATCCTCCATTGACATCATACTGCAATCCCCCAATTGTTGCGGGCCTTTGCCCGCGGGCAGACGCGGGTTTTTATTATTGGAAGCGAAGACCGATTAATTCCATTGGCCAGCTCATAAATCAACCAGATCCAATAGGGCTTTAGGCTCTGTGACAGGACAATAGTCAAAGATAGGAGAGGAGAACGCCCACAACGTGGAGAGGGGGGTTAGAGATAGTTACGCCATCTCTTTGGGTGTCGCCCTCTTATAACTTAGGCTTTTACCGATGTCAGCTGACAAGGCGTGCACCTGGTAAGCCGGATGATGAGAGCATTGTACGCGAAATGACTCGCTGAACCCCGGTTTAGTCTCCGGGTGGGAAGAGATCGACTGTATGGACCGCCGGCATGAAACGCGTACAGGAACTGCACTCAATACAGGCGGCTTTGCGCTAAACTCTAGGGCGATCAGGCCTAGGGTCTGGGCTACAGTAATTTTAGGGTTA